ATAGACAGGTTATCACAGCAATGTCAGCTGATATGGCAGGTACATAAAAGGGATGGGGAGCTGTATCACAAAGGAGAAAATATATTCCGAAATGCACAGTCAGATAACAAAATAAAATATATTTGCATTGAGATCAAATCACAAATATACACGCACGCACATACATGTACATAGACGAAACAAAAAATAAGAACCACATCAAAGTGGTTATAGCACATTAATAAATATATACCTAAGAATACTATGCCTAGGGCAGGTTGTATTTTAATATACTTTTTGTACAATGTGCATTGTGTTATTTGTACTTTAGATATGATTATTAAGTGTTTTTGATCAGAAAAGCAGGATAATTGTATATATTCACTGCGGACGACAAATAGGGCAATATAATTTGCCTGCTATGGCAATGGCTAGCTTGCAGTGGCTTAATGTCAGCATGGATTACCTTAGTTGGGATCCTGTGGTCTCCCAGCCACCAAGGTGAGAACCAAACAACAATATAATAGCCCACACAGGATATGTGTGGCTGGGAGCCACAGGAGCCACCTCTCCATTGACCATGGCAACCATGTGGACTCCCACCAATGAGGGAATGGCATCCCAAATGGCACTTCCACATCAGCCTAACAAGCCAGGGTAATTAATGGATTCCCCTTGCTCTGGCAAGTGAATGAGGTAAAAATAAGCCTTTCAAGTTTGTGACAGATTATCATAGAGGAAGAAATGACAAAAATAAGCAGAGGCTGGATACTTCTTTCCTATTCTTTGATAGGGTTTAAATAGTAACAATTCTTTGCCCATTCATTTGCATTTTGGATTAAAACTCGAGGTTGAATTTGAGCTGCCTGAAGATCCCTTGTTAAAGCTCCGTGTGTTTTACCTACACAGTTGAACCTATGCAGTCAGAAAATAACACCACGTAGTTCAGTGAAGCTGACACTCATGAAATTATGGACAGGATTGCAGTTAGGCTGATCCTAATAAGATGGGTTTTAATGGCTGGCCCTATCATTAGGCTGGGTAAGTGGGCTTCCTTAGGCAGTAGATGGGGTCAGTGGTGCTACCAGCCATTCCCCTCTGTTGGTGGACTGAGATGTGTGTACTATTTGGCCTGCCCTGTGCCTCACTGAGGTGCAGTGGAGGGTTGCTGTGTTTTTGCCAGTGAAGAATCAGCTGCTAGTCGGGTTGACTTCTGTGTTCAAAATGAGGGCATCAACTTCGCCCCAGGCATCAATAAAGCTGCCTGAGCTTCTGGTCTCTCCTTGGGGCTGTGGCTACTGGGGAGGTCAGGATGAGCTCCCACACTTTACTGTCACACCATGACACCAGCTCATACACATAGCAGAACAACTTGCAAGAGGAGCAAGAGCTGCACCCTTCCAGGAGCTTATAGTTCACTGGATAGGTGACCCCTGGCCATTAGGTCCAGTCGTGACCGACTCTGGGGTTGCGGCTCTCATCTCGCTTTATTGGTCAAGAGAGCCGGCGTACAGCTTCCGGGTCATGTGGCCAGCATGACTAAGCCGCTTCTGGTGAACCAGAGCAGCGCACGGAAATGCCGTTTACCTTCCCGCTGGAGCGGTACCTATTTATCTACTTGCACTTTGACGTGCTTTCGAACTGCTAGGTTGGCAGGAGCAGGGACCAAGCAATGGGAGCTCACCCCGTTGCGGGGATTCGAACCACTGAACCTTCTGATTGGCAAGTCCTAGGCTCTGTGGTTTAACCCACAGCGCCACCCGCATCCCTTAGTTCACTGGATAGGCCACTGCAATAGGAAACAGTGCCAGTTCAAGCCCCATCAGGAGTAACGTTAGAAAGGACAGATTTGCCTTTTGCATGTCTGGTTAGCAACATCCATGTCAAAGACAAAAGAGAGGAAGCTAGCAGCCCACTCTGCAGAGCAGCTCTATTAACCACTGGGATCTAGCATCGGGGAGGAAAAGGGCACATCAAGGGCACATCAGACCCAGGTATACATGTCAGGATCAACAAAGGATGCACAAGGAGCCCTATAGGGTTCCCTTATATATAGTCCCATGTTCAGTCTTTGGGCAAATCCATGTACAGTTTCCAGCATAAGGTTCACCAAACTTTTGTTTTTGTTCAGATGTGGGTGGCGCTGCGGTCTGAACCACTGAGCCTCTTGGGCTTGCTGATCGGAAAGTTGGCGATTCGAATCCCCGCAGCAGAGTGCGCTCCTGTTGCTCTGTCCCAGCTCCTGCCAACCTAGCAGTTTGAAAGCACGCCAGTGCAAGTAGATAAATAGGTACTGCTGTGGCAGGAAGCTAAACGGTGTTTCCATGTGCTCTGGTTTCTGTCACGGTGTCCCATTGTGCCAGAAGCGGTTTAGTCATGCTGGCCACATGACCTGGAAAGATGTCTGTAGACAAATGCCGGCTTCCTCGGCCTGAAAGCTAGATGAGCGCCACACCCCATAGTCGCCTTTGACTGGACTTAACCGTCCAGGGGTCCTTTACCTTTACGTTATTGTTCAGAATATAAACTTATCCAGAGGGTAATGCTCAGTTATATCACAAATGAAGCAACATTCCCCCAATAAGTTGTTCTCCAGTTTGGTGTGTTCACAGTTCTTCTGACCATGAGCCAGCCAGCTGAGATGTGTCATTTTTATAGCATTTGAATGCTCCATAGAATTTTTAGGAAATCCCTGGAAACGATTACTGTGTACACGCTCCCATCCAGTCTGTATCCAGTACGCACATAACGTTAGCAAGAAGCATCCCCCGACATTAGCCACAAGCCATATCTACCCTGTATTTATCCTGTCATTTCTTATGAAATACAGCACACTCGCCTCTTATCCACATCCCTAGCCTTACAGAGAACAGTCCTCAGCTTGAAGGGCTGTCCCAGGATTGAACTGCATTTGAAGGAGTCCTCTGTTTGCCCATTTCAAACCTGATTTACAGATTTAAAAACAAAAAACAAACCACCAGCGAGTGCAGGGACCTTGAAGTTGACCATCCACAGTTACCACCAGGACAGCAGACTGAGAAAACATCCAGCCCCTCTGGTCACAGTCTTCCCCCACTGTGTTGAGAAGATGCACTGTATTTCAGTTCAAACAATAGGCATTATTTCTAAATTTGCCTGGAAATTTGCATGGGGACAGGAAGGGGAAAGTCCTGTTGCGCAAGCTGAAGTCTGCATGCAACCCTGTGTCTTTTATCCCTTTTTGGACAATGCATATCCTCTTTTCTGGCAATGCTTAAGTGCCCATCTTTCCTGCCCATGTAGACTTGCTTCTCCAATGCCACATAACCCTTTCTGACAATGGGGAGCTTCTGCTACCCTCCCCCTCCTCTGGGTGTATTGTCTTTAAATGGGCTGGTGATTCTAGCGGAGCACCTTACCTGCTTTACCTAGTCCCTCTCTGTGCCCTTGGAAGACATTTTTTTCATTTTAGGAAGACTTATTTCCACTTAAAACAGCCACCACTTCACAAGCCCCCTTTTGGGTTGTCAATATCAGCCCAGTGCTGTCGATTCTGTTTGGTGTTCATTTGGTAACTGCAGAGTAAGATAGGAACAGTGTAGTGGACACAGGTATGGGCAGTCACTCCTGGCTTGCAGAGTGTCTGCCCATATCTGTCGACTGTCTTACTATGTTAGTCCTCAAGGGATTAATGAATTCACCCCAAGGCGGCCCCACATTGGCCCATTACTAGACTGTGTGAAAGTGCCTTAGGTCTGTTCTCCTACTGACATGCAGAAGATGGATGGAGATCCAAGTCTCATTAGCATGAGAGAGAAGCGCCTGTGAAAATCTCTCATGCATCATTGGGAGAAAGGCACCACATACTTTTATAGCATATCAGGGGCAAGCTACGTGTGAATATTTCAGTTATCCTTTTTTACAAACATTTATTAGCTTACTCCAGTTTTTTTTTAGGAGGAGGGGAAGTGCTGGTCTAGATGGCAACCTACTTTGATATTCAATGATGTTTTGGTATTAGAAAAGTGTTGCGCATATAAGTTATATCATTTCTAAAATGTCTGTGCTACTTGAATTGTGATTCCCCTGACCTTCAGTATCAAGGAATATGTGGTCTGGGGTGGGTGGGTGTGTTTTTCCCTGTAGTTTCCCTGTAGTTGTGAGTTTGGGGTTTTATAATTTTATTTACAATTTATTGTTCACCTCTTCTCCCATACATAAAAGTCTTTTTTTTAAAAAAAACCCACCACACAAAATCATAATGTAAAATTTATAGGAATATTTATGTGCGGGAGGTGGGTGTTGGGGTGGTGAAACCCTGAGGTTATTTCTGGTTGCACTCATCTTAAAATGATGATTTTGGTAGTTTTATATTAAGAATTTTTAATATATGCCACGATGAAACTGGAAGTCACAGCAAACAATCAACACAAAACAAATCTTCCCATCTCTTAGTTTTCAAAAGTGTGGCTGGTTTTTAATATTTATCCAGGAAACCGAAATATTTATACAAATAATGTTGCTGTGGTTGTGTTTATTTTTATATTTTTTTTAAGAGTAATCAATAAAACTGGAAAGATCAGGACACCTAGGACTTGGCAATCCCTGTTAATTAGTGTTCTTGGGAAAACCTGCCTGTGATGAAAATAAAGCCCCTGTCGTTAAAACCCACTGCATTTCCTTTTGTGCAGCTGAATGTTGTTAACAATGTTGCATTCTGGTTAAGTAAAAATCTAAAACTGCACTGAAGTGTTAATAATTGGTTCTTGAGCAGATTCCCTAATGCTATTCACTTTTCCCTGCTAATCTTCCTGTGTGAGCTATAACAATGCAGCACCAAGTGAGAAGGAAATGTCAGGTTATGTTACAGGGCCAGCCTCCTGCCCACCCTCCATCTGTGCTGATGTCAGTGCTTATTGGAACATATGCTGCCTGTTGCTCACTGGCCATCTGTTAGCTGAGCTGATGAAGTGTTCCAGTTACTGTGGCAACGGAACCCTTGATTGCTAGTGGCACCACAAACATTTTCTGCTCGGGTTTCACTTTTATCCCTGCTCAGGAATGGCAGGAAAGGGAAGGGTGTGCGTTACAACTGCCCGGCCTGTCCACAGCCACCTCTTCCAGATCCCAGGTTAAAATAGTTATTAGGGCAGGAATTTAAGGCACATGTTTGTAAGGTACACTGCAAACCTTGGAGCCATTAAGCTGGTTTTTAAAAGCAAGGTGTTTATATTTCTTGCTTTCCTAGTTGCAGTTATCACCTAAGAAGCGTCACAGTCATTGTAATGGAAAGATACCCGCTGGCCTCCAGTTCATCAAAGGCCTTCCACCCATGGAAAGTGGTTTCTACGCACAGAGTGATGCTCCTTTCGGATTCAAGACTACTCATATAAAAGGGTGCTGTGCAATATATATATATCCTTGGGGAAGGCACATGATCCTCCAGTTCCACACATATATCACAAAACAGATGGCACCTGTTTCCTTCTCCCTGAACAGGTGATCGTTGCTGACAATGCCAATCACTGGTTCATTGGGGAGAACCCTGCGTGTCCAGTTGTTGTCTTTTTGGTTCTGTGACCAATATTTTTCATGTTTAATGTATGGAGGAAACAGTTACAAAAGACGTGATTCTTTGTGGGATCTGTTTTGTTCACCAGACTTTTGAGAAAGTAACTGGGTCCCATGTTTTGGCTTCACTACTCTGACACTTCCTAATGTACAAAGGCCTTCTCTCCCTTTTCTCATAGTAACCCTAGGTAAACCAAGACCTACAGTAGCTATCACAGCTTGCTCATGGCTACCCAAGGCCATGTTCCAGTATGACAAAGAGGCAAAAATTCTAAATACCATAAAGGAATTTAGGATGGAACTGGCTGGATGGGTACACACCCTAGACCTGGAACAAGATGTAAGTGTTGTTGAACTGACCGGGAACAGTGACCACAGTACTGTCAGATTTGGCATATCTTTAAGTAGGCATTTGCCAAGGAAATCCAACACAAGTGCATTTGACTTCCAAAGAGGAAACTTCTCCAAAATAAGAAGATTGTTAAAAAGGGAAGTTGAAAGGCAAAGTCAAGAGGGGCATATCTCTCAAAAATCTTCAGGAGTTGTTTAAAAGCAGAATATTAAAAGCTCAGCTAGAATGCATGCCAGAGATCAAGAAAGGTACCACTAGGGCCAAGAGGTTACTTAAGATTAAAATCAAGGGTAACAGCTGTATCCAACAGTGCAGCTCTCTTGCCAGCCTCCCCCACCCAAGCACCCTCAAAATCAGTTCTGGAGGGTTAGGGGAACACCGGAGCAGATTTTAGAGCTATAGCTCTAAGCCAGGCATGGCCAAACTTGGCCCTCCAACTGTTTTGGGACTACAATTTCCATCATCCCTGACCACTGGTCCTGTTAGCTAGGGATGATGGGAGTTGTAGTCTCAAAACAGCTGGAGGGCCAAGGTAGGCCATGCCTGCTCTAAGCTGTTTTAGAGCTATTTTTGTGTGTGTTGGAAGCCGCCCAGAGTGGCTGGGGAATAATAATAATAATAATAATAATGCGCAGGGAGGAGAGGAAAAAGAAGTCCTGTTGCATAAACATTGGATGCACCCCCAAATCTCCCCATCCCTGTGTTCGGAGGGATTACATCTTAGTTAAATATGTTTAGAAGTGAAGGCTAAATTCTGTTATTGCTGTTGTTATTTTGCAAGCGTATCATACCAATCCCCCATTATGCACATTGTACTCGAATGGTCAGTACTCCTTTCTTTATCTTTAGAGCTCTCATTGGCACCAAAATTGGGTGCTTCAAGCAAATATTAGATAGAATGCAAGTCCTCCGTTGTTTCAATACAACAACACGGAAAAGAAGAGAGGGGCACGTCCTGATTAATGAACCTTGCTTATTGACCCAGGTGATTGTGCTAGACGATAACTTTCCATTTACTCTCTGCTGGTGCTCCTCACTGCTCGGTTCACAGTTCTTCCCCTTTCCCTTCTGCACTCCTGCCCTTTGCATGACCTCATCTGCTCCGATGATCTTTCGTGCCACCACCACTTGATACTCCTCACTCTCTTCCTCGCTTCCCCCTCCCGGCAATCACTTCTTGAATGGCTTGCTCCTTTCTCCTGCTGCGTTCACACACAAGGTGCTCAATTTTATTCCTAGTCCTCCTCCCTACCCCATCCCATTCAGGAGAAACCATTTGCTACTAGGCTAAACACTCCCAATACTCATCTTGTATGGAACCGAGCAAGATTGGGCACCTGTGGCAGTTCAGCTAAAGCAGTATGTAAGTTGGCAATTGCATGGGAGTTTCTACAGGATCAGAAGTCACAACGGAGATTCAAACACATGATCATTTATATTTGGTTATAGCAGTCCTACCACTGGAGTGAAGGTAATGAATTGGGCACTGTGTTATGACCGCTGTGAAGTAAGTGGTTCATTTCCTAACCCAGGGTTTCCCAAAGTCAGCCCTCCATATGTTTTGGGACTACAACTCCCATCATCCCTAGCTTTCAGGACCACTGGTCAGGGATGATGAGAATTGTAGTCTCAAAACATCTGGAGGGCCGAGTTTGCCTATGCCTGTCTTAAAAGAGCTGGAGTCCAAGTTTGGGAAACCCTGTCCCAACCAATGGTTTGTCTTCAACAGAACCCCCTAGACAAGGGGTAAGGAGCAAATGTGCCCCCCCCCCGGCCTTCTCCTTTTAGCTCTGACAATGGGCATTCATTGTGATCTGCTTGCAGGGTGTTAATATGCCTTCCTGTTAATCATTCATTCATCCCATACTTTCATTTCCCCCATCACTTTCCTAACCGCAAAGAAGTCTGTGTTTGCTTTGTTTTTAAGTGGATCTATCGTACTAGGGCAACAGAACACTTTAATCCACTTTAATTGCACAAACCTACATTTCCAGCGTGAGGCTGAATTCCTTTTGTAAAATAGTGACAGTCTGGAGGCACCCCAAGTAAGCCTGAAAGCTATGCCTGTATTTAGAAAACGGTTACTACAGCTGCAGGTCATATTTAGAAGGCAGCACATATCATCTGGAAATCAACCCTGCCTGCTATCTCCTTTTTATTTCTAATTTAGTAGCAGCTATGCTTTCTCACTGGCTTAGATATAAGGGCAAAGGTCCCAGTTCACTGATCAGGGAGATCACCTTATTTGACTATAAACCAAGTGTACATTTGGAGGGCTGTCATGAAGTTGATTATAAATATAACAGAAGTTTTTTTATTCACATTTTTGTTCATTGTTTCTGAGCAATGTGTTTAAATGCAATAAGTAGACTACTTGAAAGGCCTTTCTAAAGATCAATGGATGTTCATTAGTGTTTATAATGTTTGTTTTTATGTGGATATTAGTTTTTATTGGTGTTGTTGTTGTTACAGAACATGACCCATAGGGTGTTGTTAATGGATGGTTAATGAATGTCAAAATGAATACATTAAAAAGGATTCATTTGGGAGCAAATCTTGGATTTGTTGACATCACTGAGTCCATTAGCATTCATTACAAGTACAAAAATTTTCTCAGTATTGCCTGATGTAGGAGTGGCAGACAGATTGCTCAAACCCCAATGACTGCATCATAAACACATTGTGAACTGGTAAGTTACAACTAAATTGTTTAGTCTGGTCCTTGTAATTAACAAGGTTTGCATAACATTTTCATGTTCTTGTTATGGCAGCCTGCTGTTGGTGAACATACCCCTAGCCTGCAGTCTCAGGTAATCCTAAACCTACCTGGGCATAAACCCGGTTAAATTCAGTGGGACTTAGGGTCAGAATTAATCATAATGATAATATTTTTTTATTTATTCCCCGCCCTTCCCAGTTCAGAAACCCGGGCTCAGGGCGGCTAACAACAAATTTAAAACACTAAATTGTAATACAACATAAAAGCAGCATAAAATACAGTATAAAAGCATGAATAACAATAAAATTCAAAGTTCAAAAATCAATTTGAGGGAAATTCATCCAATAAACATTAGATAGTCACCAGCAATTCTGAACATCCTTACCAGGATGCAAGTCCCATTAAACCCAATGGATCTTTCTTCTGAGCAACAATAATAATGAATAATGACTATTATTATTTTATTATTTCTATGTCACCCCTCTGACTGGGTTGTCCCAGACACTCTGGGTGGCTCCCAACAGAATATTAAAAACATGATAAAACATTGAACATAAAAAACTTCCCTTGACAGGGCTGCCTTCAGATGTCTTCTAAAAGTCAGATAATTGTTTATTTCCTTGACATCTGATGGGAGGGCGTCCCACAGGGCAGGCGCCACAACCAAGAAGGCCCTTTGCCTGGTTCTCTGTAACCTCACTTCTCGCAATGAGGGAACCACAAGAAGGCCCTCAGTGCTCAATCTCAGTGTCTGGGCTGAACAATGAGGGTGGATACGCTCCTTCAGGTATACAGGGCCAAAGCCATTTAGGGCTTTAAAGCTGAGCACCAACACTTTGAATTGTGCTCAGAAATGTACTGGGAGCCAACGTAGATCCTTTAAGACCAGTGTTATGTGGTCCCGGCAACCGCTCCCAATCACCAGTCTAGCAGCCGCATTCTGGATTAGTTGTAGTTTCTGAGTCACCTTCAAAGGTGGCCCCATTTAGAGCGCATTGCAGTAGTCCAAGCGGGAGATAACCAGAGCATGTAACACTCTGGCTAGACAGTCTGCAGGCAGGTAGGGTCCCAGCTGGTGTTCCAGATGGAGCTGATAGACAGCTGCCCTGGACACAGAATTAACCTGCACCTACATGGACAGCTGTGAGACGAAAATGACTCCCAGGCTGTGCACCTGCTTCTTCATGGGCACAGTTACCCCATTCAAGATCAGGGAGACCCCCCACCCCCACCCACCCCCTGACCCCCAAGAACAGTACTTCTGTCTTGTCAGGATTCAGCCTCTGTTAGCCACCATCCATCCTCCAACCGCCTCCAGACACACAGTACCTTCACTGCCTTCACTGGTTCTAATTTAAAGGAGTGGTAGAGCTGGGTATCATCCACATACTGGTGAACACCCAGTAAACTGCTTTGAGATTTTTTCTTAAAAATATAATGCAGTATGGAACTGATAATAATAATAATAATAATAATAATAATAATAATAATAATAATGCATAGGATTGTGCAGTTAGGCTGGATGACAGCTTCTTGCTACATCTAATTATCTTCTTAGATGTAGACCTATACCTAGGCATACACAAGTTACTTTTTAGTATAGTACCCAAAGTTAAACAAGATGGGGTCTCTCAAATTTCAGCAGGGAGAGAATTCCATAGACCTAGTACCGTGGTACCTCGGGTTAAGAACTTAATTCATTCTGGAGGTCCGTTCTTAACCTGAAACTGTTCTTAACCTGAGGTACCACTTTAGCTAATGGGGCCTCCCACTGCCACCGCACCACCGCCGCATGATTTCTTTTTTCATCCTGAAGCAAAGTTCTTAACCTGAGGTACTATTTCTGGGTTAGCGGAGTCTGTAACCTGAAGCGTCTGT